GAGAGGAGGGGAGAAGCAGAGAGAAACATCAATGATAAGAGAATCATTGATTGGCTGCCTCCTATATGCCCCCTACCAGGGATCAAGCCCGCAACCCGGGCATGTGCCCCTTCATTCTGCAGGCCGATGCTCACTGAGCCAAATCAGCTAGGGCAAACTACCTTCATTTAAATTTTTTTCTCTTTTTGCTGTCCTAATTGGGTATTTCCCACTATCTTGTCTTCCAAATCGCTGACTTGATCCTCTGCTTCATCTAATCTGTTGTTGATTCCCCCTAGTGCAGTTATTTTTAACCTTTTCATCCCATGGCACATAAACTAATTACTGAGTTCTGTGGCACGCCTCTTCGATGGTGGTTCTGAGAAGTTACTCTTCGCGCTCATGACCCCGACCTGACACCATCCGGCTGCAGGGCCCGCCGGGGGTGTGCACAGAGGGAGCCTCGCTCTGCTTCCTCCAGGTGAGGCTTCGGACAGGACCCCAGATGCTCCCAGCCCACTGCTGCTCTGGCAAGTGGGCACAGCAGTGTCTGGGCCCTCAGGTTGGCACAGGGGAGCGCAAGGTAGAGAGAGGCCTCCGTTGATCCAACAGGGTGATTCCAATTAGGAGGGACCCCGATTCACAGCCACACGGTTTCTTTTCCTCTTGTTTGCTCGTGAAGACACAGTCAGAAGTTAGGCTCAGGTCAGGCTCCCAGCCCCCCCACAGCTGGGAGACCAGGGCACCTCTGATTTGGGTTTCATTTATTTTTGTTTGTGATTTTTTTTAAGTCACCCTACTACAACCTGGCGTTAGAAAACTAAGCAAAGCCAACAGCTGGGTCAAAAGAGCAGGTCAGCCCTGGAGTGCTCACCCCGCACCAGCCACCTGTGTGACCTGCTGGACGCGTGGCGGGTCTGCCGGACGTGTTCAGGGAGTTGCAGTGCCCAGGCCTAGGAGCAGGCTCACGGCTGCCTCCCTCAGATCTTGCTGCTTTTGTGCCTAGAGAAACGCTGTGCCTCAAACTCCGTGTCTTGGGGGACACAGCCCACCTGTGAGGGGAGTGAGGGCAGCCAGCCTCCTTCTGTTGTCACCCCTGGGCAACTTGCCCCTCACACCCTGCCAGGCGGGCACCAGTACCAGATACCCAGTCCATGCAGTTCCTTTTAAACTCTTATTTATTTAAATACAAAAGGACAGTTCACTTCTTTCCAGTTAGTCTGGAAGGTGGTCTCCTGGGGAAGTTGTAAGAAAACAGTCAACCTGAGGTCAGAGGGCAGCAGGACTACTCTTCCCCGGAGCATCGGAGTCTGGCCTGATCCCAAGGGAGACATGCTGGCTTCAGGAAGCTGCGGCCCCCCGCCTGTGCTGATGCCGCTCCTGGCACGACAAGCGGCAGCGGGCGCAGACCCACACTCTGTGTTCAGAAGAGCGGGGGCAGGGTGTGTGGCGGTGATGCTGGGGAGATGGGGAACTGGGAGGGGAGCACCGCACCGCTCAACCTCCTGGCCCCCTGGACTTTGTCCCAGGGCCTCAGCCACCCTGGAACCCGTCTGAGGAGGGCAACATCAGCCAGGCAGAAAACCAACAGTGCCCCCTAGAAAGCCAAAAATGTGCCCGATCTCACAGGGCACCGCCCTTTCAGTAGAGATGAGAGGAAGCCGCCCTTAGGGGGGCTGCTGGTCACAGCTCACTGCGTGACGCCTTGGCCACGATCACCAGCTTGGACAGCTCAGCCTTGAACGCTCCGGGCCTGTGGGACACTGCAAAATAAGAAATGCATGGTAGGGCCCTTGAGGGTGCCCACACGCTCTTGGGCCAGGGTAGGGCCCGGTGGGGACTGGCAGAGCAGGGGAGCAGTCCCCAAAGCTAACTGCAGGTGGAAAGAACCCCAGCCCGGAAAGTCTTATGGGCGAGAGACAGAAAAAATGTGAAGAGGTTGGTGGGCCTTTCCTGAGGGCAGTGGGAGTCCACAGGAAAGTTCAAGGTGGGGAAATTATGGTCATTTGGCCGCACTGAAAATGAATGGGGTGGGGCCAGGCTGTATCACCTCCTGCTCACACTGGCAAACTTGTTCGAGGACCATATGATGCTTTTGCAGCAGGGCCCGGGAATCTGCAAACGCCACCTGCCACACCTAGCCAGACCCTGACCCTGATTCCCTGTGCAATTCTGTGTGCCCTGGGGCTCAGGGTCTGCCCAAAACCTAACATCCTCTGTCCGTGGCCTCTACTCTGAATGGTCCCCACGTCCTCAAGGGCCTGCAAGCGGGGCTCCATCTAGACTCAGGCTCCTCCTCCCTAAGCACTGCCATGCCATCTTCTTCCCAGGTTTCATGCCTAATGACATCCATAGCCACATGGGTTCCCTTCACCTCATCTTTCCCCTGAAACCCAAGACCCTCAGGGCATCCCCCCACCCCTCCCCGGCTAGCTCCCATGTCCATTATCCCAACCACTCATTTGTCCACCCTTGCTCTGGAACGCCAAGCCCCAACTTCAGAGTTCCCCACCTCTTTCTGTTCAGCATCTGCCCTTTGTGGCTAAACATGGCTCAGAGGACTGGGGTGGGTGGCTTTCAGGAGGTCAGGAGGTCCCAATCTTTTTTTTTTGGTTTTGTTAATCCTCACCCGAGAGGGGGGCGCGGGGGGCGAAGACAGAGAAACATCAATTGGTTGCCTCCTGCATATGCCCCAACCAGGGCCGAGGATGCAACCTGCAACCCAGGTACTTGCCCTTGATCAGGAATCAAACCTGTGACCCTTTGGTGTGCGGGCCAACACTCTAACCACTGAGAACACCGGCCAGGGCTGGAGGTCCCAATCTTGAAGCTGTTCCTGGTCACAGAGCCCAGGACAGCCAGGCCGTGTGGAGGTCACAGCTCCCATGGACCACGAGCCATCAGTTAGGGATTGGCACAGTGTGGCCCACCACTCTTGAGCTAAGGGCATTTTAACAAAAATCTAAAGAAAATGGTATTTTGTGACACGGGAAAGTGACGTGACATTCACATTTCCAAGCTCATAAAGTATTAAAGTTTTGTTAGAACGTAGCCACATCCATTCACTGACACGTGGTTGCCCTTTGCCCGATGGGGGCAGGTTGAGCAGTTGCAACAGAGGCCATCGGTCCCACAAAACTGAAAATGTTTACGGTGGGGCCCTTTACAGGAACAGTTACGGATGCCTGGCCTGCAGTCTGGATGTGCCCTGCAACTGTCCTCCCTCCCCGCTTGGCCCCGAGGGCCCTCTGTTGTCACCTCTCCCCCCCCTCCCCCAGTATCTGGGTTCCATGTCCACAATCCACCCTTACACACCTGCTGTTTTGGTCACTTCAAATTCCTCATTTTTCAGGGGAACGTCACTCTCTCTTTCAAACGCAGCTTTAGACTGAAAGGGAAAAAGTGGAAACTTTCCTAATCAGGAAAGAACACGATTTGGTTTGCTTTCCCAAGAGGCACAGACTAAAACCTCGTGCGTTTACTGAAGAGCCGGGTGACACTTTTCTGAGCACCTAAGAGAATCCAGGAGAAGTGGCTGGCTAATCTACTTAAGAGATTGTCAACTGGCTTCACACTTCGTGCCTTCACTGCAAATCCTAGTAAGAAGGTATTTAATTCAATTTTTCCTTAATTTATGGAAATGGGACAAGCACAGCAGTCTCTTGAATGTACTTTTTAAAAATTAGAATTGTGCTCTCAAATGAGCTAAAATCGAGTTTTAAAGGGACCTCGGAGAGTCATTAGTTCAAAGGTGTGTGTCTGATGTGTCACCTTGGAGCAGCCATGTCTGCAGTTGTGCACTGACTGCGCTGGGTGCTGCTGTGAAGTGTGCTGCGCGTGTGACAAAAGCCCATCCTGAGGGCTCTTGATGCCCTGGGTGGCCCTGACTCAATCACTGGGCGCGATTTTCGGGGCAGAGCGGAGGCTTCCCTCCAGCCTGCCTGGCCTCTGGACTCCAGAGCTGCTTGGTCAGTCCCTGTGGCAGAAGCCAATCCTGGCAAACACTCTCTACCCGACTGCCCGTCTCCTGCTGGTTCTGCTCATGGCTTACCCTGAACTGGTGAGGGTGGTGGGAACACGGCAGGCTCTGTAGTGTGGCGGCCTCTGGAAAGGGCTGTGGGGTCAGGCACTGCCCAGGCCGTGAACCACAGGTCTCTGGGGCCAAGGATGTGACACCCCACACACACCGTGAGCCACACGCCTGCCTCAGGGCCACTGCCACCCTTGCGGTCCCTCTTCGTGTCCCAGAGCTAAGCATCCAGGCAACCCTGCCCTCTAGCTTCCGGCTGGCCTTTCCAATGGGGGCCCCAGCAGGAGACTGGCAGGCAGTAGGAGGGTGACGCCGGGGTGTCCACTTCCTGTTTTCTCTGGAGGTCAGCAGGCTCCGCTTTGGGCACCACCACCGCCTTGCCCTGCACCTCCAAACCTGGGGTCGGCAGTGTCCCACATTCTTCCAAGTTATGTCACCTCCCCATCTTGCCTGTCTCCCCAGGGGATGCCTCAGGCACCCACCCCAAGGGCACAGCTGATACTCACATAGGCCATGCCGTACTCGATCTCCGCACCCCGCACCTCTGCCTTGAACTGTGTGAAGTACAGGTAGGACTTGCCCTGGGGCCTGCAGAGAAAGGTCGGGATCAGCCCAGGGTCACGTGTTTCCAAGCACTGCTGACTGGGAAGTCTGGACGGGGCCCCTCAACATCATTCCCTTTCCTTTTCCAGAACATTCTTCTGGCTGGTTTACTGACAAGCCTCTTTCCCCTTCTGAAGGCAAGCTGTTCTAGGGCAGGGACCCTCATGCGCTTTCACCAAGTACTTTTTATCGACTGCCAACAATATCCAGGTATTGCATGGGGGCCACAGCAACATCCTGGAGGGTGAGAAATATAGGAGTGAACTAGGAAGCAGGGGGGAGGGCTGGCCCAGGCAGAGGAAATGGTTGCTGCAAAGGGCCCTCAGAGGGTGCAAGTGTGGCATTTAATAAACATGAGGTCAGTATGGCCAGAGCAGAGAGAGGAGCCAAGGGAGGAGGACTGGTGCCCTAGCAGGTTTTGCTCAGTGGATAGAATGTCAGCCCGCGGACTGAAGGGTTCCGGGTTCGATTCCGGTCAAGGGCACATACCTCAGTTGCAGGCCAGATCCCTGGCCCTGATCAGGGCATGTGTGGGAGGCAACTGATCGATGTGATCTCTGACATGGATGTTTCTCTCTCCCCCCCACCCCCCCCTCTAAAAGTCAACAGAAAAAAACTGGGCGAGGATTAACACAAGAAAAGAGAGGAGGACAGGTGCCAACAAGGGGGTGATGATGTCTGCAGTACGAAGAGCTCCAAGTGGCCATTGTGTGAAAAGCAGACGTAATGGGGTGGGGAACAGAGAAGGCAGCAGGGATGCCAGGGAGAAGGTGTTAGGGACGGGGGTGTGAGGGGAGGTGTGAGGGATAAAGAGGTGGCATCCAGAGTCTCTCAGATTCTCAAAACCTCTGCATGGATGGAGGGTCAGTCCATGTCTAAATCTGAAGGCTGAGCAAGTGGCCCCATGGTGAGCAGGTGTCGGGCTCAGTGAGTCCTTGGGGCTGCATGGCCTGGGTCTGTGCCCCAAGGCTGGTAGCTCACATACCCTGTGAGAGGCAGCGATGTGCACATGGTAGAATGCACCCGGGAACAAGCCTTCCCTGTAATGAGGGGGTCCCTGGCTCCTTCCTTGAGGCCAGGAGATGTGGCACAGGCAGGGTATGACCTGTGAGGATGCTGGGCGCCTGGCCCCTGGGCCGTGCAGCAGAAAGACAAGAATCTTCCCAATAGCACTTAGTAAGTACCTGCTGCTTGCTTAGCACTGAGGCTGTGGGGTGACACCTGCAAGTGTGATTAAAACGTGCTGTGTCGCCCTGGCTGGGTGGCTCAGTTGGTTGGAGCATCATCCTGTACACCAAAAGAAGGTTGTAGGTTCAATCCCTGATCGGGGCACGTATGGGAGGCAAATAATCCATGTTCCTCTCTCTCTCCCCGCTCTAAAAATCAAAGAACATATCATCAGGTGAGGATTTAAAAAATGCATTAAGTCTGGCCAGTGTTGCTCAGTGGTTGAGCACTGACCCATATGCCAAGAGGTCCCTGGTTCCATTCCTGGTCAGGGCACAGGCCCGGGTTGCAGGCTCGGCCCATTAGGGGGCGTACAGGAGGCAGCCGACTGATGATACATCATGTTTCTATCTGACCCTCTCCTTTCCTCTCTCTAAAATCAATAAAAACATTTAAAAATGCATTAAAAAGTGTCGTGTCCTTATTGTATACCTCAAACTTATACAATTTTATTAACCAACGTCACCCCAATAAATTCAATAAAGAAAAAATGTGCCACTTCCTTTCATTAATGGCGAGTCCCTGCTCTCCCACTGTGTCCATTTTGTTGTGGACCCCATCTACTGAGGGTGAAGCCACAGCTTGGACTTTCTGTCGGGCACACAACAAATGCTCGAGAGCTTGGCTCTGCTTAAGGTGACACATACGAGGCAGAAGAGCCCAGGGCAGAAGGGACACGACTGCATGAAGTCCCATCACCCTCCTCCCCACCCAGGGCCATGCACTCCCTTTCCTCCATCCCTCCCCCGGCTTACCACCCCCTCAAGCGGGGCACCAGCAGTGGGGTAACAAGAAGGGTGAACAAGACATCAGTCCCTGGCAGGGAGGCAGAGCCCATGACCAGGAGTATGACGGAGGGTGACAGCGGCAGGTGAGCATCTGGGGAGCCTGACCCCTGTCTCTGGTGCTGTGGCTACTGCCTGGACTGCAGTTCCTCCATCCCCACACCTCCCCCGGCCTCGGTGTCAGTGCGCTTCCCTGGGGAGCTCTCCGGTCCCTGCCCACAAATGTCCCACTCTGGTGGGGGATGCTGACAACAGGGAGCCTGTGCATGTGGGGAGGGGCAAGAAGATACATCAAAATCTCTGCTTTCTGCTCAATTTTGCCGTGAACCTAAACCTGCTCTAAAAAAAATGTCTATTCAAAAAAATAAAAACAAAAAAGAAGGTAAGAGAGTACATTCAAGCCTGCTGGCAGAAGCATAAAGAAGTCCTCTGTGGCACTCCGTGTGCCACTGTAGAGGTGCAGGACCCTATTGGAGTATCTGCCCCTCTCTCCCTGCTGCCCAGAGCAGCAGTCCACTCACCGCCCAGGACACCCCACCGCTGAGGCCCACAGCTCACCTCCAGATGGTGCAGGTGAAGTGCTGGTGGTCTTCGCTGGTCCCCAGGCTCATCTGCCACTTCTGGGAGAGGAGGAAGACATGGTCAGTCCGGAACACACAGCCTGGCGAGCGCAGGCTAGCTCTGAGAGCTGCCCGTCTGCTTCCAGTCTGCAAAGTGAGCGAACCTTTCCTGGCCCTCTCGCTGGAGCTTGGCTTCCAGGTGCCCCCACTCTGCTCAGGGGCCGTGAAACTGCTCTACCTGATACTGCAACTGGGATGCACGTCATCATACATCTGATCAAACCCACAAAATGCACGGGAGTAGGCCCTCACGTCAACTATGAACTTGGGGTGACAACGATGTGTCAATGTAGGTTCACTACGCTGGTGGGGGATGCTGACAGTAGGGGAACCTGTGCATGTGGGGAAGGGCAAGAAGATACATCAAAATCTCTATGCCTTCTGCTCAATTTTGCTGTGAACCTAAACCTGCCCTAAAAAATAATGGATATTAAGGAAAATAAAATAAAAAAGAAGGAAAGACAATACATTCATGCCTGCTTGCAGAGGCATAAAGTTCTCAGAAAAGACACAAGATTTTAATAATTGTGGATACCTGTAGGACATGGGCAGGAACTACACTAGTAGAAGATTGACAAATCTTTTATATGTTTTCTTTTTGGATGATGTGAATGTATTAGCCATTTAAAAATTAAAATTTTAGCCGAAACCGGTTTGGCTCAGTGGATAGAGCGTCGGCCTGCGGACTGAAGGGTCCCAGGTTCGACTCCAGTCAGGGGCATAAAAAATCAATAAAATATATTTTTTAAAAAAATTAAAATTTTAGCCCGGCTGGAGTGCCTCAGTGGTTGAGCATCAATCTACAAACCAGGAGGGCACGTTTTGATTCCCAGTTAGGGCACATGCCTGGGTTGCAGGCTCAATCCCCAGTGTGGGGTGTGCAAGAGGCAGCCGATCAATGATTCTCTCTTATCATTGATGTTTCTATCTCTCTCTTGTCCTCTCCCTTCCTCTCTGAAATCAGTAAAAGTTATATTTTAAAAAATTAAAAATTTAAACTGGTTCCAAAACACCCCACTAACTGTGTATTCTAATTTTTATGGCCTCTGGAAATCTGGCCAAAAGGAAATGGAAAACCGGCTCTTATGTTCCAGGCTGCCTAAGGCACTTCCACAGTTTGTTAGTAAATGAGTTTACAGTCCCTCCCAAGAGTAATAATGGACTCAGATCACTGGTACTCTCCATTTCACATCAAAGCTTCTTCATTAATGGGAACAAGGCCATTTTTATGTTAATTAAATGGGAGTAAATGGTCACTTAGATGCCTTTTGCCTGGAGCACCCATGTAGGAACAAATTACTAGTTTACACATACTGTACAATTCACCCTTTTAAAGTGTGTAATTCAAAAAGCAGGTCCAAGATGGCGGTGTAGGTGGACACAGAGCTCGTCCCCTCCTAGAGCACATGAAATTGAAATACTTAACGCACTTCCTCCTGAGAGACAACCGTGAGCCAATTAAACAGCTTCTGCACAACCAAGACACAGAAACCTCACAGAGAGGGCTGAGAAAGCTCTCTGCGAGCTGAGAAGCCCAGACCAGAGGAACCAGTGAGCGCCATTATTTATGTTTCCCCTCTCCATCCAGGTTCTCTGGCCAAACTGTAGGGTGCTGTAGCAGGGTCTCAGCCAGTTCCAGCCAGACCTAGCAGGAAGAGGAGGGTGCCATAGTATGCATACAAGGGGCCCCTCCACCCAAGATTGACCAGAAGGTATGACAGGGTGTCCCACTGGGCTGTGTGTACACCTGGAGCCCCCTCCCCCGGTGAAAGTGCAAAACTAGCAAAATATTGCAGTACCGGCCTATCGGGCTCCCCTGGCCAGAGAAAGTACAGAGGTAGTAAAGTGCTACTGTGCGCTCACAGGGGCTCCCCACCCAATGAAGATTCGGAGTTAGCAAAATGTTGAGGTACCCACACAGGACTCATGCGGAGTGAGTGGGGCAGTGCGGTGTACGTGGGGGTGCCCCGCCCAGAGAAGGTGCCGAACTAGCAATGTGCGGCTGCGTACTCACACAGGCTGCCTCACGAGGATGTGGTATGGATACACTATGGAATATTACTCAGCGCTAAAAAGGAATGAAATCTCACCGCTTGCAACAATAAGGATGGACCTACAGTGTAATTGTGCTAAGTGAAATAAGTGAGAAAGAGAAAGACAAATACCACATGGTTTCACTTATATGTGCAATCTAAAAAAACAAAACAAATGAATAAAAAAACAAAACAGAAACAGAGCCGGAGACATAGAGAACCAACTGGTGGTTACCAAAGGGGAGGGGATGAGGTACATGGGGGGAAGGAAGCCTGGGTATGTGGGGCTGCTCCTTTGCTCTCTCACAAGCAAAATGAAGGTGAAGGCCAGACCGTATTTCCATTGGAGTCTGGGGCCTTCTTCCAACTCTACTGGTGGTGGCAGAATCAGTTCTTTGTGGTTGTAGGACTGAAGCCCTTGTGTCCTTGCTGCCAGCAGAGGCCGCTCTCACCGTCTAAAGCAGCAGTCGCCAACCCGTGGTCCTGGTCCGGTGGTCCTGATCCGCGGACCACTGGTGGTCCCTGAGGTCTGAAAGGCTGGCGACCGCAGGTGCTTAGAATCTATTTCACTTCCTCTTTTGCCATCAGGTGGAGAAAATGGCCAGCAAGGAAAAGGGGCCCTCAGCCCTATATTGTAAGGAACTGAATTCTGACAACAAATCGAGCCTGGAAGACGGAAGCCCAGGCTGCCTGACGCCTTGATTTTAGCTTACGAAGCACCCCCCGACCACCAGGACTTCTGACCTCCAGAACGGAGGGAGGGATGATGAATGGGTGTTGTTTTAAGCTGCTAAGTTCACGGTGATTTGTTAGCACAGAAAACAAATGCAACACCTCTAACTGAGCCTCTTGGGAATGGCAGATTCACATCTCATGTCCCTCCTGCTGTCCCGACATCCGTTCACTCTGTGGAACTACGACTGGAACTGCCGCCACTACTTAACGTGAGCTCTCTCGCATTTACTGGTTAGGAAGAATTCGATGAAGCTGCTAAGTTCACGGTGATTTGTTAGCACAGAAAACAAATGCAACACCTCTAACTGAGCCTCTTGGGAATGGCAGATTCACATCTCATGTCCCTCCTGCTGTCCCGACATCCGTTCACTCTGTGGAACTACGACTGGAACTGCCGCCACTACTTAACGTGAGCTCTCTCGCGTTTACTGGTTAAAAAGAATTCGATGAGTGTAAGTTAACCACCTGTGACAACCCCATTGTCCCGGGAGAGCATCTCCGTATGACAACATGGCATTTTGTACAACTCACCTCGTTGGTCCCTCCTTGAGAAGCATAGGTGAACACACACGTATACTTGTCCTAGAAAACGGAGCGGAAAGGAAGGCTGGGTAGGATGTAATCCTCAGTTCTGAAGGGGCAGGATCCTGGGATGTCTGAGAAAACCTACACTAAAGGGGAAGGAGGCAGAGGCAGACTCCGCTGGCGGGGGTCCCCAGAAGCCGGCCCTGCAAGGCCGCCCGGTGACTGACAACCCCGAAGTCCTCTTCCTGCCTCCCTACTAGTGAACGTCTGGGTCGGGACAAACCCACGTGGCTTCCTGGGAATAAAGACTGGGGAGGAGGCCACCCGCCTCTAACACCCACCCTTTAGGAGCTAGGGCTCTGGGACACCCGCAGGCCCGCTTTGGAAGCAGAAACGCCTGAGGGCCCGTATCTGCGCTGCTGTGGCTCTCGGACAGGTGCAAACCTCTCTGAGCCTCCGTTCCTTCCTCTGCAAAACAGGCCTGACACTGAGAGCACCCGGCACACTACCAGGCTGCAGGCGAGCATTCCACAAACAGCTCAATCGATACTCTCGCAGAGGTGGGGGAGGAGGATGGAAGAGGCAGCGACTTCTCCAACAAGCTGGGGACAGGGCTGGGCTAGACGTCGGCCTGCGGCCCCAGGAAAGGAGGGCCTGGCCTCACCCTTCAGTGACATGCAAGATGGGGGACCTTGTGCAATGGCAGGAAGAGCAGCGTCTGTCCACTTCCCAGTCACAGCTGCAAGGGGACCGACCTTCTGCGCGACCCGGAGCCGCGCACCCGTCAGGCTCCAGCTCCCCTCT